TCCAATCTTCAATCCAAGCTTCAACCATGACAAGAAATGATTTGGTAATGCAAATGGCCCTATTTGGAGCAAGTTTCATGTTGAAAAGATTTCCATTTGAAGTGTGCAAGTTGGTGAAATGGACCTATAATTTTATGACCTATAATCTTACTTTCCAAAAATACCCCTAACTTGTACCTCTCATAACTTGAGTTCTACAAATCAGATGAAAGACTTCTAGTACTATTTGGAAAGCTAAGACCATTCCATACAACTTTCATGTTGGCCAAAAGTTGAGGAGAAACACGCTTCTAGGTAAAAAATGGCTTGGAAGTTGGTTGACTTTTGTTGACCAAAATCACATTCATCTGATGACCTGTAACTTGTCTGGACCATAACTTGAGTTCTATAAATCCAATCAAGGACTTCTAGTACTCAAACGAAAGCTAAAAACATGCTCTACAAGTTCCATGTTGGCCAAAAGTTGAGATGAGACTTGTATCTTGAGGTAGGTGGTCTTGAAGTCAGGCACTAAATAGAGGATTTTACCCTGAGAACCCTAATTTAGTAACTTCTCACACTCTTGATCCTTGATGAATTGATCTTGAAATGATATATTAGACCTCTCAACAAAATATCCCATGACCATAGAGACTAGGAATTAAGTTGTAACCTCCTTCAATTTCACAGTTAACTGAGGATTTACCAGATGAAAATCCTAGATGCCACACTTTTGACTGGGGCTTGTTCCACTTCACACAACAAATTGAATAAGCTCCAAATGGATCTCAAAGCACTCAATGAGCTCTCTCAACATCTCATACCCATAATCATGACTTCACAATCTTCTGATGCTCTTTAATTGGCCTCCAAGTTAGGAGCTAACTCACACACATCCATCTATCCTTTCACAAGACATTGACCACTTCAAGATGTCCTGATGACCATTCAAGCTTGAGTAACAACCCTTGCTTAGGCTCAATGCTCTGAGAAGACCTCTCTTGCTATGCACAACCTCTTGATCCCTTGTAAAATGAAATATGCTATGCAATCCAAATGCTAGAACAAAATGAAATGAAATGAAACATAAACCAAGTTAAGAAAAGGTTGAGCAAATTTTGGGGCGCAACAATACCCATAGAGTATTTTATCTTTAGCTCATTCATAATATCAGCTACTTTGACCTTACCCATTTATTTCCTTTTTTTAACCGCTAGCTTGGATACCCATTTGGAATTCGAAGATTTGTTATTTAAAACCTTAGCACATATGTGTGTCCCTAACAATGTCTTTAATTGGTAAGTTTGTTTGTCACCCAATTTACTACATAATTCCAATAAAACCATATTTACCCCTACACTGAACCATAACCCTATAGCTTTTATTTTGTATAAATTTTGTCTGTTTTCCATTTAGAACATACTGCTCTCTAATAGCATCTTTAAATTCACTTACTGAGTTAAATTTCATACCTAGTTTAAATTGGAAGTATTTGTTCATCAACTCATTTCTAAATTTCTCGTACTTAGGAAGATTTTCACTGTCTTTATTATCATGGTCCAAAATTTGCAATTCTTCAATATCATACCCAAAATCTTATGTTCCAACATTACTTATATTCCTCTTAGAACTAGAACCTACTAGCTTGGCATGAATAGATTGACCTTGGATTGAGATTTTCTCTTATTTGGATTCTTGTTACCCTTTATCTTGAATCTAAGTGGGTTTCCATTTACCTCAACCCTAGTACTGTGCATTGGTCTGTCCACTACAACTTTCACAAATCCTTCATTTCTTTCACAAGTTCTTCCTTCTTCGGTGTCATCAAACCTAATGCCTCTAACATCATCCTCTTTAATGCTACCATCATCACTGCCTTCACTGAATTGATTAACATTGCCTAAGCATGTCTTCAACTTTGTGTTCAGCCCAAATATAACCAATTTATTATCAAAGTCGTATTTGGCAATTTCTTCAACTTTTATATCATCAATAAAGTGAACAAACCCTCCATCAAGTCTTAGAATTTTTCTCCAAAGTCTAAATACATCATAGCTCTAATCCTTAACTAAGCTCAAAGCCTTGGAAAAAAACTCCACCTATCAGAGTCTTGCCCTTATACAATGGTTTCATTCCCTCTCGTATAGAACATGTGCTTATCATAACAACGTTACCCCCATGATGAAATATCACACTGAATATGCTCATTTTTCAATTATAGATATAACCAAGGGTTACATAAGAGTTAACATGCCTAACATTCACAGTTTAATGAAACAACACTCAATTTACCCTCATGGTGAAAACATAAATTTAAAACCTAACTTTCACTGTCCAAAAACATTAAACAATTGTAGACTCGAACGCACATAGAAATTGAACAAGTTTATAAAAATTGTACCTTTTCTATACCATCAAAGTTTGTCATTGTCATGCCAAAAGACGAAATTTCTCCCAATGTTAGCATAAATTTTAACGCAGTGTTAGCAAAAACGAAAATGCAGTGTTAGCAAAACCGAAATGTAGTTCAGAAGAGGAATGAGGGTTAAACATTCAAGGAACAACGCATTGGATTTTTGAGGGTGTAATACAAAGAATAACAATGATTTTTTAGAAAATTATAGGGTTCCCAAATTAAATAGGGTCAATCAATTTTTTACTTTTAAATTGAATTCAATTAATCTATTTTAATCTGACTAATCAACAAATAAAGTCCACGTCGATTAAAACTAAAATAAAAATTCCAAAATATTAGAGCATGTTCTTACCACGTCAGAATTTTTTGTGATTAAGTTTAATAAGAGGGTAAAATAGGAGAATCTCCATAAGGCAAGGAGGAAACCTAAACTTTTTTTATAAGGGATTTGTCAAATATGACCCCTGTGACGGGAGAAAATGGATATTAACCCTTTATTTTATATGGGCACTCATTTGAGACACAAGTATGAATATGCATTCAAAAATTTAAAGGTAGGAGTATAATTGTAAATCATAGTAAATAAAACATCTTATATAAAAATAGTTAAAGGACATTTGTTTATAACTGACACTAAATATCAAATACGATTAGAAAATAAATATAGAAACAAAAGAATTCAAAAGAAAAATATTTTTATAATAGATATTTAGAAAAGTTTATAAAAAAATACAACATAATATATCAAAATGGTGCGAGAGATATCATATTTCTTTTGAAAATAGAGTTAAAGAAATAAGTGCATCCAATCGCAGCTGGTTCAATCCCCCCACCCCTAAAGGAGCTAGCCACTCCAAGGACGTAGGCGGTGGAATTTAGTGACGTCCGCCTCAAACCTAAGGGCAGGGAAGAGGACCTATTCTTGGTCATGGTCGATCTCCAACGACTACGTTAGTTGTCAACTAAAGAAACGGATAAAACTTATGTCAATTTTCTACAAAAGAGGCAGATAAGAATCACAGTACCTCCTGATAAGTAAGACGAGTAATGACTTAAAACTCATATTGACTCCTAACAAAGCAAGGCGTACGAGGCAAAATGGAGCATAGTTACCTCTACCTCGATAAATATTTATTTTCTCAATATTAAAATAATATTATTAATGTATAAGAAAATGTTGGAGCAATAAAAAGTATAAGAGAAAATAATATTCAAAATAAATATAAGTTCTCTTTATATAATAAAACATTTAGTTAATAAAGAAAAAAAAATTTAAGGTTAGATCCGCGTCATAATCGATTATGCTACAATCACAAATGATTATGACTTAACAAAATAGAAAAATTCTTATTGGATCTGAAATATAATTCATTATTGACTTTCCTAATTGATTATTAAGGGAGTTTGCTTCATAATCAATTATATGAGTGCCATAATTGATTAGAAGGCAATTTTTATTATATAATTGATTAAGTAAGCATCATAATCAATTATATTTTGATTTTAAAGAGTTTTTCCCATGCCAAGACGATTTTAAAAGAAAAATTGAAAATATATGAAGTTTGAAAGTGTTCGTGTAAGTGTGTTCTTTTTATGATGTCAATACTTTGAGAGTGACCTACTTAAACAACCAAGCACAAGATCACATGTGAGCTTTTAGTAAATAGCATTGTTTCTTGAAAATGTTCTTTTAACATTTGATTCTTTTGCACCAATCACTGTAAACTTGTTTCTTTTAAAATTTGTTTTCATCTTTCAAACTTTTTTCTTTTTAAATTTGTTTTCATCTTTCTTTTTTGTTTGATGATGTTTATAACATTTTCTTTGATTTCTTTGTAAATCTCCGACGAGGGAGAAGATTTATGCATGGCACTAGTTACATCTGAGCTTGATTGGGCACATTCTGAAGAGAGAATCATGTTAAGCAAAACTTAGAGTATGGAGAAGCAGGAAATTTGATGGCCTAAGTTACCAGAATGAAAGGAAGCATAGAGAATATTGCAACCTAAACTTATTACCTTTTACACAAAGATTAAAGGGTACAACAAAACAAGAGTTTGAAACATGTCAGATAGAATTCCAACACAAAAATAATCAATGAAAAAATGACGTACTAGAAGGTTTCGGTTTTAACTGCTCCAAATATCTGTCCTAGAAATAACAAAAACAAAAACTACATTTTTCAAATAAACTTCCCTAGTGGCAGATATTCAACATTCTTTAGTATCTGTTGTAGGAGAGCTACAATCACAGTTTTTCATCTTCACTTGCAAGCCAAAACACAATTTTTGAAACATTGACTGCACCTCCTCCTCTTTCAGAAGAAGATACAGAAATAGGAGAAAGAATATTAGCGTCGAAAAGGAGGTGAAACCGCCAAACAAAAAGGAAAAAATAAATGTTCTTTTTCTCCTACCCCAGAATTGGGAAACAGCCACTTCTGGATCTTGTCTAAAAGCTCTGAAGGGCACCTGTAGTGTGAGTGAGAGTTAATGTAGTAGCCTCCAACTTAGCCGTTGGTAGGATCGGAAAAGAAGCCTTCTCCACAAGCAAAACGCGCGCATGTATGTAATCTTCAATCTTCTCTTTCTCTCTCGCTCTCTCTTTATGCATAGTACATGTACAAGCTATTTGCTGCAGCACAGGCAATTGAGTTTTCAGATGGATGCCATGCTAAGTGCAACAGCTTTGTCGTGAAATCAAACGAATTCCCGTTTGCATCAACCCCGGGGTTTTCTGCTCCTGTATCAGAAATATGAACTTGTGATTCTGATTATCTATAGTAAGAAACAAATAAATATGATGGGATAAGAGCAAATGAAAGGAAACTGACCCCGTCTTACAACTCGTGTTAGACTATTTCCGAGTGATCTAGACGGCCTTGAAGGAGTCGGAACTTGTCGTCTGATAAAATAAAATGCACAAAGTTAATTTATATGCCACGATGATAACCGAAAGTGAAAACTATATTCTCGAAGAGGGAGCGCTCCAATAAACTTACCTCATTGGATTTTTACTGGCTTCCAAAGTTGTAGCCTCAGTACTTCCAGGAGAACAGCCGAATACTCGAAATAAATTACTGGTAATACAAATGAACAAAATAGTAACATGCAGGGTGATAAACAATTCCAGAGACAATTGAACGATGGATTAAGTTTGTGTCACAGACCTGTAAGAACCAGTTGCTACCCGCAGTCCATCACCGCTCAGACAGCACTCGAACTTATCAAAAATCGAATCGTTTTCATATAAATCACAAAGCTGGCAAGTTCAAACCAAAACATAGTTAGTTAATATAACACAATTAAGCAGCAGAAATAAGTTTAAGGCTAATCATCCCTTATCCAACCACAGGAACCTAACCTTAGGTCTTAGATACTCATGAACCTGGTAAGTAGCAACAGGACCTGAATCCATATTAATGTCCCATAACTGACAAACAAGTCAAGAAGAGTAAAAATGAGATGAAATTCAAAGGAACAGAAAAGATAAATCAATATTCATAATTTAAATAGCTTAAGGAAAAATATAACGGTATTAATCTTTTTAGCAAAAATTGACTAATGGGATGCTGTTTGAAAGTTGATTGACGAAAATAACGGGTCTATTTCTGAAGTTCAAATATTGTGAAAGCTTTAACAGATGCGTTAATTTATAAATCGTAAAACTTCAAACCTTTAAAGTCATGTAATCACGACTGAGTATGTATCTTCCATCCTTCCCAAATTTTATGTCAGATATAGAAGCAATGATCTCGGTGAAAAATGATCTGGATCCTGGGGCCTCCTGTTCCTCGAATCTGCATCGAAGGGCATTGCCTATTAGAGTCTAGAAAGCAACATAAATAGAACTAGAGAAGAAGTGCTTACAGTTTGGCATGAGAATCACATAATGCTGATTGCCGCAAGTCAATTAGACGGATTGAACCCTTTGAACTGCTATATGCCAATGTATTACAATGTGTAGGGTGGAATTCTGCTGATGTTATAACCTCTACAATAACAATAAGGTCATAGCTCAGCCAAGACTATAAAACAAGAACAAGTTGGCAACAAATGAAAGCAGATGATTCTTTCTTCACTTTGCGCTAAGACCCATGAAAGCCAGCAGCACTTAATAGATTGACAATCCAGCCTTAAAACTCCATCCTATTATTTGCAAATCTTATTCTTTGAGTAGCAATCGTGGTTGTCAAACATGCGCGCTAGATCGTGAGATCGTAAGATCTCAAGTGTTATTAGCACACATTCCGCAATGAAACCCACTCGGTCTAAAAGTATATTGTGCGTCATAGTTAGGCATAGCACACAATAAATATCTATCTTGTTGGAATGTTAACGGCTAAATAATTAAAAGAAAAAGTGTAGTTCTTTCAATTATCAGAGTGACAAATTTCTACGGATACTGAAAAATTGGGTATCGTAGTCTAGGAAAAAAAAACCATGAACATAAAACATTGGCCCGTGTTGGTTCTACGTGAAGCTTAATGCAGTACCAACCAAATATTTTCTTTGGATCATAAGATGATCTCAAGTCCAACCAAAACTGAATGGCTTGGGTCAGATCGAATCATCAGGCTATCAGTTTAGGTTGGGTCGGCATATCAGAAGGTCAGGGTCGGTGCGTTGAGCACTCACTTGTCAGTCAACTACAACTTCTAAGAACTTCTATAATAATATGAACTAAATAGTTAGTGTTCTACCAACAGAGATATGTTTATACCACATATTAAAAAAAAATTATCAAGCTTACCTGTCAGATCCTCCATGTTTGCAGGTTTTACATCGACGATATTAAAACTTTGACTGCTTATTTCCAGGTTCCACAGATTTATTCGCAAATCATCAGCTGATATGAAAGTTTCGCCATCGCTAAAAGGTTTGAGTAACGTAACACCGTCAGAATTTGATAAGTATCTCAAAAACTATGTAAGAAAGTAAAAACTACGTATCCATTTTAGGAGCAGCACTGCAGTAAGGGAAATAAAATTACCAACGCAAGATTCACCTTAATTAGCCTTAAAATTAGAATATGAATCTTCAGAGTACTCAATTTCAACCAAAACTTACTAGACAAAAGCAAAATTCAATGTGGACTAAGAAAGTTAAATACCTGTTATTTGAAATAGAATTGATATGATAATCGTGTGCATGGGCATAAACTCTACGACATCGAGCCACCAAGCTTGTTTCATGACTACTTACCTGCATATTTTACAAAATGAGTTAGTACTTCCAAAATCCTAAACATGCATTCGTTATAGTTTGGAAATGAAAGTACTTGAACCACTTTATATAGTTTCTTCTCTTCTAAAACATCAGGATCAGACTCTAATATTTATCATCTTATTAAAAGGAATGGAATAATAAAAATATGAAATCAAACTCTAATATTTATCTCTCTACTTCTTATTCTACTTTCTTTTTCCTCGTGAACTAAAAAATAATTACAGGTGGAAGGGATGAATACAACTACCACAGGTAATCTTAGTGACGGTATGCCTCCCGGTGGAAATGAGAAGTCAGAGCTAAGATAGTTGAATGATCTATCGGAATCAGGATATCCTCCATTTTCAAGGCTTGGCTTAGGATTATTTAAATTACTTGAACTAGCAATACTGCCATTTGCCCTTGTTTTCGAAGGGTCGACATTCATCTCAGCAATTTTCTTGACCTTCTTTTCTTGAACCTGTTCAACACTTGGATAAGGAAAGATAAGAAAAAGTGATCTAGAAGACCGGTGGATGATATTATTCATATGAAAAGATACAAAGTGGAATGCAGCCATATTCATTTTTCATAGATGCATAAGCAAACATTCACTATGCTAACCATGTAATATTTATTCCCTACGGTATGATTTCATAGTATGGCCTTTCATATCCGTTTCTCTCCGTATCTCAATGCACTTAACTATTAAGATGCCACATAACATGGTAAATGTTTAGAAGTTAAAGGAAAATAGCAACAAATTTCTCGGCTAAGATCCTTGAAGAAAGGTTTCAATGTTCAGAAAGGAAGTCGTGTATTATACACTTGAAAAAAAATGTCAGCATGTGAAATCGGGATCAAGCCGAAATCCACAAAAGTGCAACCTTGTGAACAATGCATTGATAAGAGACAGCACTAAGCATGCTACAAATCAGCATTTATTTCGTACCTTCCAAAATTTGATGGTTTTATCATTTGTTGAGAGAAGGAAAAGGGCGCCATTAGCGATTTGGCACCATCTGATTTTGTTGATTTTCTCTTCTATCTCCAAACTCTTAAGGTAGTCAAACTGAAACAATCACCACACATTATATATGTTGGATATTCTAAGATATATGACGTTGGGGAAACGTTGCCGGTAAAATGAGATTACCTCGGGCTCGTGACTCTGAAACTCTGTTTTGTAACGGAATTCAGGATGCCTACTGATCGAATAATCCATCCTTTCTGAATCCCTTCTAGATTCACCATGCTGCATGTTTCAGCATACATATAAGCATACATGATACAATACTATGGACAAAACATGAAATTGTCAAAAAATAAGTTAAGTTTCTTTCTACAAAAATCCGGCTTACATCTTTTGTATCTGTCCTCTCAAAGAGAACCACTCGACCACCACGATCACCAGTAGCAAGATGATCGCCAGACTTGTCAAATTCGATAGCAGAAATTATGTCAACTGTAGAAACACATTTGGGCAAATAATTAGGAAAGTTTCACATTATCCTGCAACAAAACTATTTCAGATTTGTCAATAAATCTATTGCAACTATCACAACATCGACCAGCCAATCTCACTCCGACCCCCTCTCCTTGATATCACATAATCCCGTAATGTAAATGGTACCTTCATATTCCCCTTTTTTGATAACCATGCCATAGGTACAAAATATTCACCGCTAATTAACAGTGACTAATCTCCGCCAAGAAACCTGGTGGCTGCACAAGATGGGTTCTCCCCTTCCAAACCAGGTTTTCTCCATACTCCAGAATCAGGGATCCAATCCCTGGCCACTAGCTTAAGGTGCTTGAGTCCCTTACCACTAGGACCGTGTTAGATTCATTCTGACCGAAAATTATGTTTTCTTTTTTGCATAGAGAATTGCCACACACCCACTCTATAACTACCCTTTAGATATTTTTCGTTCCAACACAAAAAGCATTGTCAAAGGCACATATAACGGCGTACCAGCAGTCAAACTTCAACGCAACGCGACATAAAGATCCAACATATCATACTGAAACAAACTTACACATTGGCTAACAAATATAAAGAAGCCTATTCCAAACAAAAAGAAGTGTCTCCAACGCAAGCAAAAGCTAGAAAACAAAACATCAAACCCAAATCACCAACAAGTATCAACAACTCAGTTTCACAGTCTGAAAAACAAATCTAGTAAATTCACAATGCAAATACAAAACATTCAACAAAAAAAGTCGGTCAAACAAACACTACTTTCCTCCAAACACCGATAATAGCAATGAACACAAAATCCAAAACAAACATTACTCAACAAAACAACATAGTCCTAACAACACACGATCCATAGCCGTAACAGATCGAATCAAACCCTAATCCCAAAACACAAATTGGATCCAATAAACTCACACACAAAAACACATCCCTTTCCCCAACCCACCAACACCACGCTGAACAAATTACCTTCCTGAACCTCTTCACCCGCCGTACGTTCACCAAACACCTGAGAGAATTTCCACTCCAAAGGAGACGGTGGACCCGCCGGAGCTGCGACAACCTCATCGCCACCGTTCATTTTTCAAACCAAATCAACGGTCACCGAAGATACGAGTGAATCTACCAATCCTATAACTGCATCCAAGATTAATTTATGGGTTTTCACAAGATCATAGGTTCAGACAGACTCGTCGAAGAAAGACATAAAATTTCTTTTTTCTTCTCTTTGTGTTCCCAGTTGAACCATTGGAGCACAAAAAAAACAAACAAAATTTCTCTCTCCTACAATTTTCTCCAATCTCTTGTAATTTTTTCTCTCTCTAGAAGGGTAACATTGTAATTTCGGCAAGTTTCGATGTTGGAGATGATAAAACAAAAAATAAAACAAGAGATACGTACACACACTTCTGTCTTGAGTTCTCTCCGCTTAACAATTGGTCTCTGTCTGGTTTTTTATTTTATTTTTTATTCTATATTTTATTTTACGCAGATAATAATAAAAATATAATTATATTTATCCTCGTTTGTGATATTCTCAAATGTTTGTTACGTAAGAAGGTGAATTGCGATGTTTGATTGGACTGTGATTTTGGATTAGTGACATTATTAAGAATAATTTTTAAGATTTTGAAGTTTAAAGTATTTGTTCTGATGGGAAAAAAAAGTCTTTGTGGGAAATGACTTGGATGGATGTCTTTGTATTTACTTTTTATTATTATTACTTTTAAAAGAAGACCGGAATTAAAGAATCAAATAGTTACATAAAATTCAGAAATAATGAAAGATGTGGTGATATTCTAATAAGCCCTAAAAAAGAAATAGTTGTTTTGCTAGTAAGTGGGTTGTTTTTATGACAATTTTAATTTTATGAAACTATAAATAGGAGTCCTATATAGGTATTACTTATGCCACTTTTATGAGAAAAACAAATTGTTCGTGGAAAAATAATGTTGGCATCACCTAGAGATAGATAGTAATATTTTAAGTGTCTTTTTTTTATTTGGGAGGATTGAAGCTAAAAAAAAATTAAAGTAATATTTCTTATTGAGGATAATCTAATTATATTGTCTACGAGGCTTTTAGACACTTTTCTATAACATAATTCATAGATCATATAATTAGTTATAAGATTAACTCCTAATTTTAAAAGGTCGTCAACGGATTTATTTTCTTCTCAATACACATGAACTAACTGAATCTATCAACCATGTTTCATCTTGCTCTTAATCTTGCGGAGAATACTCGTCCCTTTTCTAAGCTTTACATTGTCATTCGTAAGTGTATAATGCATCACTTTATTATCCACTTGCAGCATAACTTTATTAAAGTTTTTGTTCTGCACAAGTTGTATGTCATCTCAAACATCTCATAGTTCTGCAACCATTACTGAACAATTTCCAAGAGTCATTGCAAAGTCTCTCAACCAACGACCAATGTTATCTTCAATCACTCATCTACACTCTATTTTGCTTGAACTTCTCATATCTTTGAAGTTGCATGTCCTTAATACATTCAAGAGAGAACTCCGATATTGTTTTGTTGCTTGTCTTGTCGCTTTTATTTTGCTTATTATTGTTTACTGGGTCTCCTTTATGATTGCATGTCTCTGAATCAAGTTTTCAATCAATTTTTTAGCATGCATAATTCAATTGTTATATTTGAATTTGATCATGATACTTTTAATCAATTAGTTGATTCAGTGGAACAAGAACTATATGTGTTGTTGGTTCAAGTTAGGTGGAAAGAGGAATCTCAAAGTATTTTGAAAAACATGGAAAATTGAGATTTTATGTGCATGACTCGAATCAAATTGAACAAGGGAAAACAAATATATATATATATATATATATATATATATATATATATATATATATATATATATATATATATATATATATATATATATATATATATATATATATATATATATATATATATATATATATATATATATATATATATATATATATATATATATATATATATATATATATATTCTATTTGGCTTTGTCCAAATTGACTCGAATCAAGCTTTATACCTGATTCAAATCATGAGTCTGTGTGACTCGAATCAAAGTTTTAAGGTGACTCGAATCATAAGAAAAATGGATCAATTTATTTATGAGATCTTGTTTCAATCTACTTGCTCATTTGACTCAAATCATAAAATGTTATTGACTCAAACCTAACTAACGTTTTTTATCCATTTTTGTGGTTAATCTCAAGCACATATAAATTCTTTTTGTCATTTCATTTTCAATAGAAAAATTTCATAATCTACACTGTGAGTTTGTGAAATCAACAACCTCTCACTTTTTGAAAACTAAAAAACTCTTGCAAACAGATTTTCTTGCATCTTCAACCTCAAGTTTTATTTCAGATCTTGATAATTAGAGACTTCTAATTGTTGAGGGAGTGGTTGTCTTGAAAGTAATTGTTCTTGAAGGTTTGGTAAAGATTTTTAGAAAGTTTGCTATATTAAGGTTGTTATCATTGTAGTGACAAATTCCAATAAATGAATGAGGTTATTTTCTCCAGCTGACCTTGGTAGTGATTGTGTGGAAGGATATTTACAAGGTGGAGTTCTTTTCAATCTTCTGACAGTTCACCTCTCAAGAAATTGATAAGGTAAAAGGGTGATTGTCACACACAAAGATTGTAAGTAGATTGGTGAAGTTGGAAGATTCAAGAAGCGAGAATCGAGTAAAGATTTTGCAAAAGAGTTTAGCATTAAGTTGTATACAAGTCAAGATCTAGACAGTAGGTTTATTTTTCTCAACATTATTGTTGATTGGTGATTGTATGAACTATGATAACATTTGCCAAAACATAGTAGAAGAAAATAGGTTCCAATGTGCAGAGGGGAAATTGGAGATTAAGTTATTAATTAACTTAACTCATAAAGAAAGAGTCGCCACCGTACTTTTATTTTTCCAAAGAAATGGGGAAAAGAACAAACAAAATCCACAGAAGTTTTAAAACAAAACTAATAAAAAAGAGACAAGGGTAAGGGGGTTAGTTATACAATAGGAAGGTGTTCACACCCAAAACATCTATAGTACTCTATAAGAATCTCTTAAAAATATATGTTTGGCTTAAATGGGTTGTTTGCAAAAGATGGTGGAGATGAGAAGAGAAATATTTTTTAGGGTTTTTTAGTGTTTGACAAGACTTCCTGAGTCTCGTGCCTATGTATTCACAAAGTGCAATTGAGGATCAAAACTGCGTAGTTCATGGTAAAATAACAAAAGAGATTTGTTATGATTAATTTTAAGTGGAAAGACAAATTGTCATTTTAAGAAGAAAACTCAACTAGTCACCCACAAGTGTATGAAAATGAACATTTGCATCATTGTTGAGAAGAGCTCTAACTTAGATTGAAATCAACAAGCATGCCACTAACTCTCTCAAGTGGAAAAGAATCAACATCAAACATTACTATGGGGATAGGAGAATTACATCTCAACTATGAAAATGACTCATGTCTAAACCTTAAGAAATTTTTTAAAAAGAAAAGTGCACAGAGGGGACAAAATAGTTTGAATGAGTTGTGTACTTTTTAAGTCTTATGAAAATGGTCTTGATATGTTTAGGATAAATTAGCACTTTATTCAAGAAAAAGAGTTTAAAAATCACTTTACAAGGTCAATGTTTATTGAGAAAATGGTTCAAGTTTAAAAGCAAGAAGGTTTTGAATAAGGGAGAAGATTTTGAAAATTTAAAAAGGGGGAAGAGATGAAGCGACTATCCTAAAGCATAAAGTAAAAGGTAAAGAAGGAAAGATCTAACCAAGATCAAGACTTTGGCACAAGTCAAACCAAAACTCTCATCCTTTGGATTAAACCACAAGCAACCAAATAAGCAGAGAAATAACCAAACATCAAATAAAGAAGAACTTAAGCCAAAGCCAAAGATGAAGTAACAGAGCTAAGTCTTCCAAAAGTCAACTCAAGGTCAAGGTTCCAAATGAATTCCAATGTCTCAAGCCACAACTTCAAAGCATAGGATCAAAAACCTAATTATAAGTCCATAAGTCCATCATCCAAGCCAGGGATAGTAACAAATAGTCCAATGGGAATATTAAGTCTTTTAATGGTTTAACCTTTATTAATGTCTTAAAAGAGACAAAGAAAGGTCTAAGTGGACAAAGAAAAACGACATAAATATAAACAATAGTAATATAATATGTAATGACAATAATAAAGCAATTATAAGGAGCAAGAAAGTAAATGGCAATAAAGATAAAGGTGCATAAAAGTAAATGGCATAAAGATAAATGTTATCATAATTATATGGTTAGTATTAGTATTAGAGTTGATAATCTGATTCAGAACAAATTTAGCGCTATGTTAAGCAATCGTAGCACAAACTATAAGGAAGATCATACAATGGGAGGCCGGTCAATAACAATTTATGTACCATACATGTTAGAGATATGATAGAGATCATACACCTAAAATGTGTAGCACAAGTCAAAACCAATGAGGGATCAAGAACTAAGACAAGGAGATTGGTTCATTACATCAGTCAATCTTTCATGACTTAGGAAAAACTTATGCATCGATCCAAAATATCTCCAATGATCAATGATCAATCAAATGATAGATTTGAAATGATGAAAGTTCATCAAGCATCAATCCAAACCTCATGAACAAGATGGACAACACATCATCCAATTGATCAAGAGAAAATCAAAAGCAAAAGAAAAAGAAGAAAAGATAAAGAGACGACCAAATTAAATCAAGACTCGAGGTCACTTCATCATCAATTTCAATCACCTTTCTTGGTGGATTAAGGCATTAAACATATCATCAACACAAAGTACCAAAAATGAATCAAATGATTCACTTAATGATGGATTTGTATTGATTAAGTTTCATCCAACCTCATCAACACCCAAAGTCCATTAAAATTAAAGAGAAATTGGATCAACATGCTATGATCCAAGGTAACAACCAACAACCAATATAAAAATACAACAAGAAATAAAATCAAGCATAAATTTTTTTTTAAATGGTTTTTAAAAGAAATTTGAAACAAAGCAAAATACAATGATTAACAACAAAAAAAATAAAGAAA